TGCTACACTTGTGAAAGTAAAATCTGTTGGGCTCTTTTTGGCATCAAGACAATTATTCTTATTGCCATATTGCCAGACAGGACACTGAGAAAAAAAAAAAAAAAGTTTTGCGACCAGAATATCCGTTTTCAGACCCTCTTTCTCCTAAACACAGACTCATCCGGCTCTGTTCTCTCCCACTTTGTCTCTACTTTAAAGCTACTTTGAAAAAAGGCTTTGTTTTCCAGTTAGGTTTGTCAGGATTCTTTTCGGCCATTGATGCTCGAGTTTACACAAAAGTGAACAAATAGCTAAAAAAAAAAATTGCAGCACCAAACAAGCATAGGAGTTCTTCGTGCTTCGACCTAATGTTGGACCGCTAGCCAAACAGCGTATGAGTTACGCTTGGAGCCTAGGTAAATAACGCAGCGGGGGCATGTACGCAAGATGTTTGACTGACAAACAAGTAGCCAATTCGCTTTGGACAATAGGCAAAGTGGCGCCAGCATGGCCCGAGTTTATGATATTTTTTTTTCATCAACTAAATAGATGGATGCAAGAATTCCATCCATCAATTAAGTCATTTTAGATTAATCTGGACACTTAATTTCTGAGAAAAATCCTCTTTCATACCTTTAACAATGTTTTCCTTCCACAAAACTTTTCAGGACTATGTACTGATAAAAGACTCCCTGAACATCCAACTTCTTTGAAATACCTTTTAGACACTTACACTTCTTAGGATGACTATCTGCTGGTAAACAGTGAAGTCAGCATTGTTTTCCATTGTTTTGTCGGCCATAACACATTTTCATAATGCTGCCAAACTAAATTCTATGCTTTCATTAGCTAAAAGCTTGAATCATCAAATGAAGATAATTAGTTATCACTTCTACAAATAATGAATCTATGTCATAAAAAAGTTGAATATTTTAATGTGAACTAGGATGCATTGACATGCATTTGTACAGGTGATAACATTTCAATTTCCAACAGTCGATTAAAACCAGGAAACCTCTATTATAAGTGCATGTCTGAGGCAAAAAAGTTTAAACTGTATAAAAAAAATGGAGTCTTAGCTGTAATGTACTCTATGTAACACTGCATTAGGATTTGAAGCTGAAGTTGTGTGTCTGTTTATAAAGCCGCAGCTGTTTTGAGTACGTTTAATCAGAAGCAGCTGCAGGAGAGCGAAAAAGAAAAAGTCTGATTTAATGCAGATGTTGCATCTAAAAATAGACCAAAGCTATTTGTTTAGCTAAAACTAGTTCAGCGTAGCTTAGAGCATAGAAAAAAATAAATAAATCATTTAGTCTGACGAAAATAAACTGAAACAAAACAAAGTTAAATGGGAGTAGTTACAGTCATTAAAGGCGGAACAGAATTGGATTAAATCAAAGGCTAACTTCTGCAATGGTAGAATTAAAAGAGATCCAAACCTCCCACTGCTTTATGGCTGTTGCCCAGAAAGCAAATAATAAAAAAGGAAAATAACATTTTTATTTTTATTTTGCCATGCACAGCCAGCGATTGCCTTTTAGGTATTTCATTTAAAAACAGCAAATGTTGATCTAAACTGGAGGAGGCACCATGCAAAATAAGCCTGTAAGGGCTGCATCCCCACCTAACTGGGCCACACAGTCTGTAATACAATACTTCCATATTCAGAAAGTTATCTATATGACGCTACTGTTTCACCTCACAGCCCATCACATCCATCCACAGCTTGATGAGAGCACATTGTAGTGGATGATAACAGCATTCTAGACAACAACTGCACAAAGTGCACCAGTCCCATAGAAGGACTTCAGGCTTTCCCTCCTCTACCTTCTAGTAGGTTTCTTATTGCTGATAATAAGCATATCTTTACTGATAACAGCTGCTTCATTTAAAACCTTGTTTTATTTACTATTTACCTACTTTAGAGTTTTTATCTACTCTATTTACAATGACCATTAAAAAGTCTATTATTATAGTTCCAACTAGGAATGTGATTTTGAGCTGGAAGAATCTTATTTAATGATGTACACAGGGAACAATATAGGAGAGCGCTTTTGAGATATGTCGAAATGGCTTGCCATACTAGCCTCGTGAGACCATCCTGATCTCGCGAGCTTTCAAGATTTCACTCGCTAATCAGTCTGGAGACTCTCCGTTGCAAAAAAATTGGAGCAGTTCACCAAACGAACGTCCAATCTGTTGGCTTTGAGGCGGGTTGAGGTGTGACGCAACGAGACAATTCAGTCTAAAGAACATGGCGGCTTCAGCTGATGAAACTAGCATTAGCGTGGCTATCGAGCAAGTTTTATCGGAATTAAACAGCACTTCTTCACTGAAAGAAGAGCAAAACACTGCTCTGGAGGCTTTTCTCAGAGGAAAAGATGTTTTTGCTCTTCTCCCGACTGGTTTCGGTTAGAGTTTGATCTATCAATTGGCTCCTCTTCGTCTTTGCTCTGTTAGTACGTCATATGCTTCGTTGATCTGATTGGTTTATTTGGCCCGTCTATCACCAACATAGGCCAATCAGCTAACCAGTATTTTCGCCCCTTCCCAAAATTACTTCAACAGAAGGTTTCCAGATGGATATACGGAGCAAATCCATCTGGCGGGGTCAGGTTACTGAACTCTGAGTGGACCTACTCAGAGTGGAATAAACTAACACACAGCAGCCTTTGTAAAACCGAAAACGGAGTTTTCGACCTCAGGCTAGATCAATTCAGAGTTGAGAAACCGGGTCTGAGTTTGTAAATCCTGTTTTATGAAAAGGGCTCCTGGATGGACAGCATCTGTGGACATCATTGTTTTCAATCTGACGAGGTATGCTCATCTGACAGAACGCCGGAATAAATGTAAACAAACATTTTGAAACGTGAGGTTATTACTTATAATTTCTGTAATTATTCATAATATTTTAATCAAACAATAATTGAACATCTTTAAAAGCAGTTAATTTTTTGCCTATGATGTTGGTAATGTAAAAAAGATGTGAGGTAATGTAATAATTTCATCCTTATTAACCTGAAATCCATTTTATAATTGAGAAACATTTTCATTTGTTTTTCTAGGAGCTAACTGGATGTCATGCTTAATAAACTCAGATTTAATTACTCTTAAGAAAATCAAAAAGGGAAGATATGAAAAATGAATAATTTAAATGGGCAACACAAAGAAAAAAAGGGTGCAATCTTCAGGTATGTAACCTGTTGCACTGCTTAGATTTAGTGGGTTGGGGAGGCAGCCCAAGGTCAAAAGGTTTATAGTGAAAACAACAGCAGAGCAAAGGCTAACCGTGACCAACTCTGCAAAGCGAAGATGTATGAGGTCCGATTGCTCTTTAAGATAAAACATCCATGTCATACGGTAATGAAGTGAGATCCAAAAAATATAAATGCCTTTTTTTTTTTTTCACTTGTTTTAGTCATTGCAGAATTTAAAAAATTCAAGGTATCTTTGTGATATTTGTGAAAGACTAGCATACAGTAGTGCATTTTGTGAGGGGAAAGAACATGTATAAAATACTGTAATAAAAAAAGCATGAGTTGCTTACATTTTCCTCAAACTGAGGTCAACAAATTAGACTTAGATTTTATTTTGTACACACAAATGTAAACAAATTTATTTCTTTTTATTTATTTATTATAAATAAAAATTTTTAGTTATTTATTTTAAGTTTTTGGTTCCCCGGCAAAAATTTTTTTTTAAATACATTTTTTTTTTTAATTACAGAGCTAACTCAGGAATGTCCAAATATTAATATTTTAACATATTAATCAAGGTTTTGGGGTAAAATTTGTCTCTCCCACCTTTAAAGATCTTGGACTTAACGTTTTTTTATCCATTGTCTTTTGCAAAACTAGCTAACACAGATCCTCAGCTACATTTAGCACTGGACTTTGACTGGACCTTTTTAAATATTATGCTTTGATCTAGAAAATTCCAGCCTTCCTCTGACTCTGTTTAATTCGGGTCAAATCTATTTTAAAATGTCTTTATATATCCAAAAGAGAAATTCAAAATGTATGTAAGTTGAACAATCTGATTTACTTTATATAGTCAATGTATACTGTGTCTGCTGTGGGATCTGCTGCAGCGTTCTCTATTACAACAACTTTACAAGAACCTTTGACTAGAGGCAGGTACTGCCTGTTGGCTTAGTCAGTTTCTTTGTGTTTTGTTTCTTATGTCATACTTTTGCGTGTTGTGAATCTTAAAGGATAGGATAGGATTTTCTCCCTGTTTGCTATGGTTTTCTATCAATTTCCTCTGTTGTCTTTCTATCTCAGCAACCTTTCAGCCACCTCAGCTACTCTTTACTTTTATACAATTGCTCTTATCTGCACTTAATACTTTCCTTTTCCTCCACACATGTATTATACATAATTTTCTCGTCACCATGTCTGGTTCCCTCTTTGTTCAACTACCTTCTCCCTTAAAGTTTGCCCTGGATTTTAGTGGTTTAAATCTAGCTAAGTCATTATTTTATTAAAATAAGTGCATTTGTTCTTGAATTGAGGAGGTAAAAGAGACATTTTGCCAATGGAACAAGAGAATTTACACTTAAAATAAGAAAACACAATTGCATTGTCTTATTTCAAGTGCATATTATCTAATTATCTTATTTTAAGAGTAAAATTACTCATTCCATTGGCAAACTATCTCATTTACCTACTCAAATTAAGGGTGAATACACTTAATTTAAGAAATTTTTACTTATTTCTAGATCGTTTTTGCAGTGTAAAGTAAAAGGATTTGAACAAAATGCAAACTCTAAAATATTTTGCATTTTCAGAAAAATGTGAGAGCCATGTGTTATCTTTCATGTCACAAATATGCACTACTTTGTCTCGGTCTTATGAATAAATTCCCACTGATCAGAAATCATGTATGGATGGATTATTCAGGTCAGATCATGAACAAAAATTTGCAGCTTTGATAGCAGAGGTTCTTTGGTCACGGTGGAAGCCTGTATGCACTGATGATAATGTGTGAGAAGGCTTGAGGAAGGATGATGGAAGTAGTACCTGGGATGGCGGTGGGTTCTGTGGCTGTTCTGAAGGAAGTGATGGATGGCTCGGATCGGCCCCGTTGATTCTCTGCTACCACATGGACCTCGTAATCTGTATTCCAATCAAGGCCGTTCAGAATGACATACTCGCTCCTAGGGGGAAGTTTCAGTTCTGGTTTCCAGTCAGACACATGCTTCTGAGGAAGGAAAACAAACAGGACAAATGTCAGCAATGTGTAGTTAAAGGAATGATTACTCTGCTCAGGATAATATAAAATACCTTATTGTGAATACGAATCGCATCAAAAATTAAGTCAAAACTAAATTTTCCCCTCTCTAAATTACTTAAATTTATCAAAATGGGGTCTATTTAGTGAATGAAGTGGAAAAAATTGAAATCTAGATAAGTATTTTTTTCTTAAAACAAGTGCATTTATTCCTGGATTGAGGAGATAAAAGAGACATTTTGCCAATGGAACAAGACAATTTATATTTGAAATAAGAAAAAACAATTGCATTGTCTTATTTTAAGTGCATATTATTTAATTATCTTATTTAAGGAGTAAAAATACTCATTCCATTGGCAAACTACCTATTTTACCTACTCAAATTAAGGGTAAATACACTCAATTTAAGAAATTTTTGCTTATCTCTAGATCGTTTTTCCAGTGTATAAAGACACAGTGAATTTTACTTAACATTTTTTATCTCAGAGGTATATATAAACAACAAGATGTGTATGCCTATAAACAATTTAGCAAATTTCAGACGATAAACTAATGGCATAAAATAAAGATCCAGGCAGTACTGGGATTATCTCTGACTGATAACACAGATGTATGGATACACTGACAGAATGATTTTGTACCTAAAAGCCACTTTAGGCAGATAATCTATATTTGCTAATTACTTTTAACACCTGCGGGGGGATTTGTGCTGGTAAGAGGTGACAGGAACCACAGAGTTGTTAACAGCTGTAATTGATTTCAAAAAATGGGAAAGCAGAAAACCTATCCATAAGTTTTAATGTGGGCAAAAAAGGTCACGTTTTGGCAACATCAGATCATTACGTTTAGAGGTTTCCTAATTTTCCTTGGATTAATTAATTGATGAACTGACTGTGACATGAAACATTTTCCATTTTTTTTGCCTCTTTTGAAGATGTTTTATTCTGATAAATCACTGATCATCCTGTGACAGGAAACTAAACACGAATTTCCTCCTAAGTCTCCCATTTACAAAGTCCCTTGCATCCATCGCACATCATTATACAAGTGTGGTTTGGCTGTTTTTAAATGTTAATAGAAATGTACTACATTTAAATATTGATTTGTGGATTGACCTTATGAACCTATATTTAATTTGTGTGAGGGACAGCATATATGACACTGCGATTTCAAAAGTTGGTTAAAAATTAAGAGACAAAAAAATGTCTGGGAGATATTACGGCATTATCATGCTTCAGTCCCCCACCCAGGGCACCATCTGTGTCGCCAATTTCCCATACGGATGGTTCAGAGTTGGCTTGAGGGTCCACACATTTTAATGCCAAATCAGTTTTTCATAGATCTCCACCTTTGCGTGGCGCTATACACATACATACATATATATATATATATACATATATAGACACATACATACATATATATATATATATATATATATATATATATATATATATATATATATATATATATATATACATATATATACACATATATACACATACATATATATATATATATATACATATATATACACATATATACACATACATACATATATATATATATATACATATATATACACATATATATACATACACATATATATATATACATATATATACACATATATACACATACATATATATATATATATATACATATATATACACATATATACACATACATATATATATATATATATATATACATATATATACACATATATACACATACATATATATATATATATACATATATATACACATATATACACATACATACATATATATATATATATACATATATATACACATATATACACATACATATATATATATATATATACATATATATACACATATATACACATACATACATATATATATACATATATATATATACATACATATACACTATATTGCCAAAAGTATTTGCTCACCCATCCAAATTATTGGAATCAGGTGTTCCAATCACTTCCATGGCCACAGGTGTATAAATTCAAGCACCTAGGCATGCAGACTGTTTTTACAAACATTTGTGAAAGAATGGGTCGCTCTCAGGAGCTCAGTGAATTCCAGCGTGGAACTGTGATAGGATGCCACCTGTGCAACAAATCCAGTCGTGAAATTTCCTCGCTCCTAAATATTCCACAGTCAACTGTCAGCTGTATTATAAGAAAATGGAAGTGTTTGGGAACGACAGCAACTCAGCCACGAAGTGGTAGGCCACGTAAACTGACGGAGCGGGGTCAGCGGATGCTGAAGCGCATAGTGCGAAGAGGTCGCCAACTTTCTGCAGAGTCAATCACTACAGACCTCCAAACTTCATGTGGCCTTCAGATTAGCTCAAGAACAGTGCGCAGAGAGCTTCATGGAATGGGTTTCCATGGTCGAGCAGCTGCATCCAAGCCATACATCACCAAGTGCAATGCAAAGCGTCGGATGCGGTGGTGTAAAGCACGCCGCCACTGGACTCTAGAGCAGTGGAGACGCGTTCTCTGGAGTGACGAATCGCGCTTCTCCATCTGGCAATCTGATGGACGGGTCTGGGTTTGGCGGTTGCCAGGAGAACGGTACTTGTCTGACTGCATTGTGCCAAGTGTAAAGTTTGTTGGAGGGGGGATTATGGTGTGGGGTTGTTTTTCAGGAGCTGGGCTTGGCCCCTTAGTTCCAGTGAAAGGAACTCTGAATGCTTCAGCATACCAAGACATTTTGGACAATTCCATGCTCCCAACTTTGTGGGAACAGTTTGGAGCTGGCCCCTTCCTCTTCCAACATGACTGTGCACCAGTGCACAAAGCAAGGTCCATAAAGACATGGATGACAGAGTCTGGTGTGGATGAACTTGACTGGCCTGCACAGAGTCCTGACCTCAACCCGATAGAACACCTTTGGGATGAATTAGAGCGGAGACTGAGAGCCAGGCCTTCTCGTCCAACATCAGTGTGCAACCTCACAAATGCGCTTCTGGAAGAATGGTCAAAAATTCCCATAAACACACTCCTAAACCTTGTGGACAGCCTTCCCAGAAGAGTTGAAGCTGTTCTAGCTGCAAAGGGTGGACCGACGTCATATTGAACCCTATGGATTAGGAACGGGATGTCACTTAAGCTCATATGTGAGTCAAGGCAGGTGAGCAAATACTTTTGGCAATATAGTGTATATACACATACACATATACATACATATATATACACATACACATATACATACATATATATACACATACACGTATACATATATATACATATATATATATATATATATATATATACACAAATAATGTAAACAATCCTCATATGTAAACAATCTTCATATGTGTATGTATATATATATATATATATATAAATAATGTAAACATTATTTATATATATATAAAAATAATGTAATACATAAATAATGTAAACAATCATCATGGAGATCCTGAAAAAAATGTGTTGAGCAAAACTTTGAGGCAATCACTGAATTCAGAGTTTTTTTTGTAACCTTCCAGAAATGTTCAGTAAGACTTCTGGACCAGTTGACTGGTTGTCGGTTGGTTATTTTTTCAGATTTTTTGTAAATTCAATTAATAGTTTGAATTTATCATTCTCTTTAGTGGGAGGGTGTGTAAACTTTCAAGCAAAAGTATATATCCAATTATAAGGTCTAACCAGTCCAGTACATGGACTGGTTAGATGGACTAAAAGAGCCCTCAGTGAAAAAGAAGTATGCTTTGCTGCAAGACTGACTGATGCTCTTCAAAAACAGATAACCTCATGAAGAGCAAAAACTACCGAATCAAAAACATGTACCATGGCACTGAACCGGTTGTATGACCTCTAAATAGACAATCGTTGTCTTTAAGAAATTGCAGTCTCAAAACAGCAATATTGATATTCTTTAGCAACCATAGCAAAGCCTTGATCTTTGTCCAACAGACAGCTTGCTTTATTCTGGTGTTAAGTAAGCAGTTTTGCTTTTAGAACTGAGTTAAAACATATAATGTTAATGTCTGATAGAATTACAGCAGGGGGAAAAAAAGGCCATAAGTAGCGCTGTGCAAAATGGCTGGAAAATGTCTCACGATATAAGCTTTTCATCTCAGTTCATATTGATGATTATTGATTGATTCATTTTTCTTTTACCTGTTTCAAACAAGGACCTATTTCAGTTTGAGGTATAATATTACCTGGATGGACTCACTGGGACCTTTCTGGCTACGTAAATAAATGCTTTTATGTTATTAGTATTTAGTATAACTACAGTGCATTGACTAGCAAGGTACCAAACATTAGGTAAGCCAGTTGAAAGAAAAAAGTACATTAAAAGTCAAATGGAGTGTTTTCAATTTGAAAGGAAACAATAGTAATACCGTTGCAAACCACTGGCCAAAAGCCAAGCAGGGATTAGGTGTTACTGATAATTTTCTTTTCTCCCTAGTGAAAAATGCTCATTTAGAATTGGCAGAACCCAGTCTGTGAGCATGTGTTTGTTTCAAGACGATACAAATTGTAGCATTAAAACAATGACTTAGATTTAAGTGAATTTAAATGTGTTGTGTTGCTGTTGGCGGCTATCCTTATGATAAAACCCAGCTGGTATTTCCTAGTTCCATTTGCCAGAAGGATCTTTTCATTATTTCTTGCTTAAATGGTGAAAACAATAGAGAAGATGCAAAGTGGCACCATGTCACCTCCTCGCCCGGTATACTCACAGCCTTGTATCTGACCAGCAAGTGTTTAATTGGAGATCCACCGTCGTCCTGCTTGGTCCACTTGATTTTCACAGTGTTACTGCTCTTTATAGGCATGACTTCTAGTAAGGGAGCATTTGGTTCCCCTGCACAAGAACAACACATTACAATTAGTTGCATCATTCTTCAAATAGCATTTTTTAAATTTGTATATTATCATATTTATGGTAACTGTATGTATCCTTGTCTACGTGTAGCATCTCATCTCTGAAACAAATTTCTCAAATGTGTCACAGACTTTGTGCATTTTAAAGTAATGTATATAATCTATAAAAAAATGTGTTTTAAAATATATCATAAAAACTGATTTTTAATAAAGAGAATATTCTATAACAAAAGGAGTCTAACATTTTGTCTGACTTGAGCTGATTATGATGGCGATTAAGCTTTATAAAACATCGGTGAATTGGTGCTAGAAAGTGTTGAAGGGCTTAAGAAAGCTGTGCTAAAAGCTTTAAAATATTAATTTTCCAATATTGCAACATCTCCTTTTGAAACAATTAAACACCATAACATTAATGTTTTTTTATGCATCACAGTAAAAAATAGCCTAAAGAAAATGGCTACTTGGCTAAATTTGGCCTGATCTGCAATTAGAACAAATATTTAACATTTTACCCAGCATGTCTAAAGCCGATGGTTTGCTTTAGACATGCTGAAAATTCAAGATCTTATTTATATACTACACATGTCCAGTATTACTTTATAATTGACTTCCATGCCATTACAATGGAACGTCAACAACTCACCAATAGCACTCGCTAATTTAATGCTCAGCTTTGTGTTTGCCACATGCTGCACAAAGGATCATACTGCAAGCACTCTGCAGCTATTCAGATACTAAAGTGTAAATTAGATCAGGTTCCAATTTTGCTGTAACTACAGCCGTGTTATTTAAAAAAATTATGACAGCAATGACTAAAAAGAAACATGTAAATCAAATTCAAAGATAAGGAGTAGGAGCTTAAGAAATTAATCAGTTAATAATAACTGAGCCCAATAAAGCCAAGTCCTGCAGGGATTTGCATCTATTGCAAGTGGCAAACTTAAAGAGCAACTAAGCTTCAGACCTCCTCCCACCAAAAGAAATGTCATTATAAAAGATTCATATGGGGCCAAAATTGTTGCTTTATTATTTACAAATGTGTGTGGAGAGTTGTATATCTGTATCTCGATTTGTACGTGTGCAGGGGGATTTGAAAATGTGTAAATGAAACTGTAAATGTGTGAGGAGATTTGTGTGTCTGTACAACAATCTGCAAATGTGCAAAACTACTTGTGTGTGTGTGTAATCTGGTTTGCAAACGTGTAAAAAAATCCACAAATCTGTATTCAGATCTACAAATATGTGAGCGGGTAAGCGACTTAAGAAAAAAGAAAAAATTCCTTTTTTTGGGATTATTTTTAGCCGCAAACGTTCGAACCATCTCGCTGTTAGCAGCCACCCTTCCTTGTCAACTCCCGCAGCGGGGCAAAAAAGAGGAAGAGGCAGCCTGTGAGTCTGCGCCCAGGGCAGCAAATCCCCATATTACAGATACAAATCCTTTTACGCATTTGTGCATCTCACACGGCAGAAGTGTAGCAAAAATCACGTGTGTAAAGAGAGCTAACCGAGAAACCGCTGGACCTGTAACCAATGATGTGTCTGTATTTCTGGGTGTTGAAGCGAAAATACTTGGGACACAGTGTCTCTGTGTGTGCTTACAGATTGTTCTACACATTTGCAAATCTTACTACAGATTTGTAAATCTGAATACAGATTTGTGGATTTTTTTTACACATTTGCAAACCAGATTACACACACACACACACAAGTAGTTTTGCACATTTGCAGATTGTTGTACAGACACACAAATCTCCTCACACATTTACAGTTTCATTTACACATTTTCAAATCCCCCTGCACACGCACAAATCGAGATACAGATATACAACTCTCCACACACATTTGTAAATAATAAAGCAACAATTCTGTCCCCATAGATTCAGTCCTATGTCAGAGACTACCTGTAGAAACGTTTATATCCAGGCATTGTTTATATCTGTACCTTGTGGGGCCAATAAGTGTTTCGATGGTGAACTAAAATATTTTCCTAAGTAATTGGAAAGTGACAAAAATCATAATAAAAAAAAAATATTTTTTTTTTTTACTCAAATTATGGGGAATACTGAAAAAAACCAAACCACCCATGTTCAACAGGAGATAGCACTCCTTTTTAAGGCGCTAACTGGGTTCCTTTTCCTCACTGTGTCACTCCAGAACTCTTTGGCAAAAAAAAACAAGCAAACAGCTAATTTAAAACACTTTTTTAGGCTAGAAATAGAGATGATCATTATAGAGTGTGTGGAATATCACTTGAAGGACAGCATGAGGGCTTTGAATGGCTGCCTCTCTGACTGAGGTGCTGCTCTCCTCAAATCTCCTCATTATCAGCTCCATCCTCCTGAGTAATTTCTGCTCGGTCGCAGGATAATGAGCCTGTAGGCCTTGATTGGACATGTTATCCTATTACTTTTAATAACATTTACATAGGCTTATGGGAGGGAAGGTCAGTGTGGTTCTCGGTGTGTTTTTGTCTCTGTCTGGGAATGTTTTTTTTTTCTTCTCTTGTGGTATTGTGATGATTGAAGAGATTGTGAGCAAAAACAAAAACCCATTAGCTGTTAACCGATTGGTTATGTACATTTAAATAACACAGCACACATAGGTCAAAATTCATTTCTGGAAAGCGGAAAAGAGGAGACACAATTCATGCAATAATTTTGAATAATCCTTAAAAAAAAAAATCTCTTGCACATATTTCTAATTTTCTACAAATCAGAGGAAGCGCTCCAAGTTACTGAGATGAATATGCATGAAGGGCTCTTATTTCTGAGGTTAGTGCACTGCAAACTACAATTCAACAGGCCGGCATGAGCATGAATGAGGCTGGAAATAAATTAGAAAGTGTTAGTAAAAGCAACAGCAGGAGCAGTGAACCACTGGAGCATTCTTTGCTGTTATCCCCAAAACATTGGTTTGGATTTAGGGGGAAAAAAAAAAAACTTTTTAACAATCAGAGAGAGAAAGAGAAGTGGTTAGGATGAAAGGCTCAGACTGCAGACTGGAAAATAGGTACCACACACAGAGGGTGGAGCACGTGGAATGCCCACCAGCCATGACTTTTAATAGACATGCATGTAGGCGGTGAGAGTCCACGTGCAGCAGACGACACCCTTCACTATATTCCAGCATAAAGTAAGAGACTGAAAAAATAACAGTGGCTGGAAACACAAAAAGTACACTAATTTTTATGTTAATAGTTTGGTCTGATGCTGAACAGTGATTCTTTTAACCGTATTAAGACTGTTTATCATATTACCATGAAGAAGATATGACACTAAGGATACAACACATGCAAACAGGAGTGGGATTTTGAAGATATGGAGAAACGAGAAGGAGGAATTACTGACAGGAAAGAGGAAATTCAACCCACATGCTGCAGAAATGCAAACTTGTCAATATTCATAAAACCATTGTAGCAAGAAGAGATTCTGATTGTTTAGAGTGAAAAAGTACAAAATGTATCTTGAGGGGATTTATATTTATTGGTAATAATGCTGCAGATAGCAACAGATGCATTTTAAGATTTGACCTACTATACTATACTATAGTTTTTAAACTAAATGTATTTTACAGAGTTGTTCTACTAAACTCTACTTTTCAATTTCTTTGAAAATTATTTTTTTAAAGTATTGCTAGTTTTACTAGAGCAAATTTTGTGGCCATTGTACCCTATGTACTTCACTGAATATAGAAAGCAAATTAGTTTAACCACAAATGCACCAGAGAAACTACAATTATATCAAAATATCTTTATCAATTAGTACAATAATCATTGTTTGATAAGTTTTAATTTAAAAATGATAACATTTCCAAAAGGGTTTTTTAAGATTGAAATCTTGATTTTATTTTTTGGAATTATGTATTTGAAAAGAATCCTAATTCTGCATAATTTGCATTTTACTTTTTTTTTTTTTTACCCATTAGATTTTACAAATATTAAATCACATATTATAATTAGTTTCTCAGTACTGTCTAGTCTTCTTACTGAATATGTTTTCACCTTTACTTGAGTAATTTCTTGGTTTGTTACTTTTTACTTTTGTGCTCCAAAAAGAGAAAACATTCATTAATTCTCTGCTCTTTAGTTTCTCTGAAAATCAAAATATTCCATGAGACTTGTTAAAAAATCTGTTTAAAAAATAAACAGATACAGAAATCCGGTACCGAGGATCCTCTTTGTGACCTGCAGTCGGCTCCTTTTGTATAATTTGCCTCACTGCAGTGTGTCATGGAGGAAATCGCACTCAAGTGTCGCAGAGGTGGTCATGAAGCCCAGGTAGCAACTAGTGTTGCACCGATACCGATACTGCACTAAAATATTGAGAGCCAAAAGTTTATTCAACTATTATCACCCATTCCAGGTAGACAATAAAAAGTTCTACTTGATTCACTTTGTATTAGTCTTTTTCCTGCTTTACAAAGGTAGGCAGCAGCTTGAAAAAGCCATGATGGCAATTATTTTACATCCTAGTAGCATGCAGTTCTTTATATAAACACACACATCAGTTTCAAACAGATGGTACCGGTATCGGCCGATACTGGACAGCCAGGTATTGGTATGGGGGCCAAAATATGGCATCGGGGCAACACTAGTAGCAACCTGCCTTCCTTCTGCAACATCATTGAATCTTGTGACTCTCATCTTCCTCCTGACACTGAGCCACAGACTCTATTGGATTTAAGTAAAGTATTGAGATTATAAAGCAGGTGTTGGCTAGCCTCGTGAGACCATCCTGATCTCGCAAGCTTTCAAGATTTCACTCGCTAATCAGTCTGGAGACTCTCCGTTGAAGAAAATCTGGAGCCGTTCACCAAACGAACGTCCAATCAGCGTTGGCTTTGAGGCGGGTTGAGGTGTGACGCAACGGGAAGCGCGACAGTTCAGTCTAAAGAACATGGCGGCTTCAGCCGATGAAACTAGCGTTAGCGTGGCTATCGAGCAAGTTTTATCGGAATTACAGAGTATTTTTTCACTGAAAG